AGCCCGAAGCCCGCGGCGCCTGCGTGAGCACCTTCCTCCCTGCGAGCGGCCCGCTGAGCGGCCGTGAGGGCGGCACAGGGGCGAGGAGGAAGCGCTTTGGCCCGGAAGGAGGACACGTGGAAGGGCCAATAGCGGGCCCCTATTTTGTATCCGGCGCTGGAACTAAGGGCTCCTTTAATCCGAGGTCCTACCTACGGGTGCAAGAGCGGTTCCGCAGGGGATACCCCAGGTCACAGTGGGAACCTGAGGTCTGTCAACGTGGAGGCCAGTGCTTGGGCCTCGGTGGGGCTGAGACCTCCAGGGTCTTCTCCGCAGAGCCTGGCGGTTTGGGCAGCTGGACGGTCCCCAGGGCCGCTGGGGCAGCGAGGGGGATACGCCCTGGGGGCCATCAAGAGACCCCCCTTCTTCCCTCTTCTGAGCCCCAACTTTCCTTCCAGCTCAAGTAAAAAACGTGCATTTCTCGGAGGGGCTGCTGAAGCTGCCCGAAGGCAGACTCAGCGCAGCGCCCCCGCCAGCAGCTGTGAGGAAGGGACGCAGGGCCAGAGGCTGCCGCGCACACTCGCGTGGAAAGTCAGCGCCCTGCCGGAAGCTGGCCCTGGGGTCCAGACGCAGTGGGTGAGGCCACGGGCAGAGCCAGTGCTCAGATGCCCAGACGAGCCTCAGGCCAGGCAGTGCCCTCCCGTGGCCGGCGCCTGGGGCAGAGTCAGCCCGGCCTCGGGGGGCTGCCACCCCTGGTGTGGGTGCCCGTCAGCCAGCTTCCCGAAGCTCAGATTCGCCCCCGAGAAGATCGGTTTCAATTATGGGACACAAACCTCCAGAACATAAAGGCTTCATTTCCAAAGCTCCTTTGAGCTTCCCATTTGAGGTGCCCAAGGACGGAGGCGGGGGGTACAATACCCTGCGGTCCTGGGTACAGCCTCTGGCTCCCAAGCACCTGGGAACGTGTCACACGCCCCCGTGAGCAGAGCGGCTGGAAACGGGCCCTCAGCCAGTCCCATGTCCGCTCTCCCCACGGGGTCCGTGGCCACGTCCTCTGGGGCCTTGGGCATTTGCTCCTTTGGCTTAATTGCTGGATGATTTTGAGCCAATACATTTAAATGAGTAGTGACCGTTTTTATGAGGCACTTACACCGCGGGCACCGTGCTAGACGGCACTGTTGTTCCTCTCACGCCAGCCCTGACCGTCGCTCTCATTTTATAGACGTGGAAACCGGGGCGGGGAGGAGAGGTGCGTGTTCGGGGCAGCGCAGCCAGCAGGACGCCTCTGGGGCGGACAGGCCTGTCCTGCCGCCGGCCCCCACGTGGGAGGAGCCGCTCCGGGCACAGTGTGTCCGAGCTACGGCCCTGGAATGACCCAGCCTTTCACAGAAGAAAGTTTAAAATCACAGACGCCGTGTGACATGGACTCAGACCCCGACAGACCTCCAGGGACCAGGCTTTATCTGCGGCGAGAACCACGCTGGAATGTGTCTTTTCTTTGATTTGTGTGGCTGCAGCCAGCCCCAGAGCCTTATCCTTAACTGAAACACAGTGTCACCGCCGGCAATTTGAGGAGGAGGAGGAGGAGAGAAGGGAGAAGCGGAGACCGAGGGAAGTCAGCGTGGGAGGAAGGGGACGAGAGGGCCAGTTGGTCTCAGGTCCCACCAGGGCTCCCTGGGCTGGACGCCAGCGACTCCCCGCCGTGCTCCCTCCGCCCCTCCCTCAACTTTTCAACCCGACTCCCTGCCTGAGCTGGCCCCGGTCTACACAAAGACCCTCCGCATCTGGGAATCATTCCATCCTCTCAAAATGCACTGATAATTGAAAAGAAGACTTTTCCAACCGTTTTCCCAAATGGGAAAGAAAAACCCCCTTTAAATAAATATTCAGCAAAGAAACAGCTCAGCGATGCCCACGATGGACCAAAACTACACGTCTGACCGCCAGCGGGGTGGAAGCCAAGGGCCAGATTCCAGGCTTCCATCCACACAGAAGAGTCGAACGGACCCTAAGTCAAAACCAATCCAAGCCCCTTCTGTCGTGGAGTCTACGACTCGAGCAAGGCTGTCTATGGGTCCCAGACTTCCACAGGGCTGGGGGGCAGGGGGGCACGGTGTGCAGACATCCTCTGCTGAGCCACCTGTCAACCCCTGCTTCCCAGAGCGGGGTGCCCACGTGCCCCTCGAGTGCGTGGCGGTGGCTGCAGGCGGACAAAGCCACAGAATACCCGTGGCACATCACCCGACAGCTGGGAGTACACAGTAAACATCTGTGCCCCCGCACCCACACATGCACGAGACAGTTATCGAACGACCCATCACCAAAAAAGAAAAGTCACAGTTTTAGACACCGAATCGGGTCTGCGGTGTCGGCTCTGTTCAGGTCTGCAGAAACTTCCAGATTCCAGAGCCGACAGAAGCACGTCCCCCGATAACTAGCAAGAGGGGAAGTTTGCTTTTGATGTGCTCTGCTTGTCTCGTGGCAACTCAAAATATTATTTTTCTGTTGAAGTTCTGTGCACTACAACACACCATAAAAGATACACATGAGGCTTTACAGTAAAACGCAATCTCGAAAGCGTTTAGCTTGAAACAGATCCCCGGGGGCTACATAGGAAGAAGAAATTTATTCCCGCAGCCATTAAGCTGCAGCATCAGAGACTTTGGTACTCACAGTTCAGGTGACCAGGCTGGACCCGCAGCCTCAGGGGAGCAGCCTCCGCTGCCCGAGATTACAGCGGCTGTCAGCTCACTGCCCAGGGAAAGCCCACCCCGCAGAACTGAAACACTAAACCCAACGGCCAAGCCCCAGAGCCCGCGGGCATTGCCCTCGAATAGATGATCTCAGACCTCGAGATGGCTTGATGAGGCAGGCACAGAAACGCCTACTCTACAGATGGGCAAACTGAGGTCATGCACACAACCAGGAGGGGAAGGAGCCAGGGGGGAATCTGGAGCCCTGCACGAATCCATCAGCACCCAGCTCCTGGCAGGGGGCCCCCCAGCTTCCCCCAGACGCTACCCGATGCCACCTCGACGGGAAGTGCCAGCTGCTCCCAGGTTACACCTTGGCCCCGCACAGGTCTGTCTCTCTTTTCCTTCATACGTTTCTATAGCTTACAAATTCTTCCATCTTCATTCAGACGTTATAATTCTAAAATTCAAAGGGCTTAAACACAGCCATGAAATAGTTCTTGAACTTCTGTGTGTTTGGCCGTTTCTCCAAGAAGGTGGTAGAACACCCAGGAACGCTGAGGAAGGAGCTACGATGTCACCTGTGGGGCGGGAGAGTCTCCCAGTGAGATGGGTTCCTGCACTCTACTGGGACGTCGAACCCCACACCACAAGGCTGCGGCGTCTGTCTGAGCGGCGTGCCTGCGCCTCTCGCTGCACCCCGGGAAGCGGCCCTGCCCACAGCAGAGGCAGCAGGGTGTCGGCAACGCCCAGGCTCAGGAAAAGGGGCGCACAGATTCCTTCAGCATGTGCACACGTGAGCCAAATCACTGATGAAATGCCAGCAGCTGTTTGGGGGATACACTGGCCAGGTACATGTGCTAGTGAAGTGCAACCCCACCCTGCTCACTCGGGCATCAAGCACGGGCACACACATATGCACACATGCACACGTGTGCATGCATATACACACATGTGCGCTGCACACACCTGCACATGAGTGTGCACATGCACACACGCACGTGCACACACACACACACACACGTGTGCACACAGTGCCAGAACAGCCAGAGGTCTAAGGACGCTGCCATGCCTGTTCCCAGTGTGTCTGTCCACAATCTCTCCATGTCCCCAAAGGATGAAGCTCCCAAGCGGGGAGCCCTGCAGGTGTGAGCTTCTGGGGCTCAGTTGCGTCTGTCATTGTCCCCTCCAGTCTCCAGCTCTCCGTGGGTGTGGCTGCTACTGGTGATCAGAGATTCAGTCAATGCCGAGCCCGTCTGCCTCCCAAGGGAGTGAACTAGACTGTGGTGTCCGGGGCTCCAGGGGTGGAGAGTTGAGGTGTGATGTCTAAGGGGGGCAGGGCTTGTTGGGGGGGACAATGTTCTAAAACGGACTGTCATGATGGCTGCACACTGTGATCACACAACGCCTCTGACTTGTGCACTGTGAGCGAATCGCATGGTACGGGGGTCACATCTCCGTAAAACTGGCTTTTTTCCCAAAGAAAGTAATAAGCTCGGACATGAAAGCGGCTCATTCAGTCTCTCACGACAGCGGACATTCAGTGGTCTCAGCCCTTCTTCACCCGTGTGGAGAACGGGGGCGGCCCCCGGCTTTGTCCGGTGTCGGGGCCCAGGCATAGCGGGGCACCCTTCGCGAGACGCGCAGTGTTCGCGACCGTGGTTCTGCGGAGGCTGATTCCTGTCCGCTGGCCTCCCTGCCCCTCTGGCACTCCCGGCCTCGGCGCAAAGGACCTGCGCCGCGCCACCCGGACCCCCTTCTGGGGAACCCGCCCTGAGGGGCATGGGCCAGGCCCCAGACTCTTTCTGGGTCGATGTTAAGACAGCAGTAGGAGGTAAGAAGGGCCGTTCTATTTGTGTCCTATGGAAAAGCCCGGATCCCATTTCAGGTGTAAATGACCATATGCAAACTCCCTAGGAAAAAATAGTTTCAGGCCACCAGTGGGTTTGAGATGCTTTTGGGTCATTGAGGCCTCTCTGCACAAGTACATTCAGATTCAAAAGCGGACATTATCTGAACCCCAGAGACACATATGCTCGGCCATAACCTAGCCCCTCCCCTCCCCCCGCCGTGCGCTGCCAGCCAGCCACAGGCCCAGGCTTCGGGCCCGTTTCCGCAGGACGCGGAGACACGGGTGGAAAGGCACCGACATGCCCACCGCCACCCCGCCTCCGCCGGACGCTCACACGTTCACCCCTCAGCGCGTCCTGAGTGAGCTACGGAAACAGCTTCCCGACAACCGCCCCTCCGTGGGACTGACGCACAGAGAGCAGGGCGAGGCCACTGTGGAAGCTGACCCCCTCCCGTGGGACTCCCTCTGCTCCCTACCTCTCAGCAGGGGGCGCTCCTGGAGCCAGGTCAGGGTCCCGCCTTTCTTCAGATGCTGCAGACGAGGAGACACCAGCCTTCCTGTCCCCAGCAGGACTGGGAAGCTGAGGCTGGGGTTGGGGTTCTGCTGGGGTGTCCCCACACCGGGCACCCGCAGCCTCCACGCCCGGGTCCCCGCAGCTCCCCGGCGGAACGGAGGCAGGAGCTGCTCCAGGGAACATTCTCGTTGCACCCATCTCCGGCAGGTCGCTGGGCGCCTGTGCCCGGGTCTCGGCGGCGCCCACAGTGCCCTCTGCTTCCCTGGCGGCTCCTGCCTCTGAGCTGGGCTCCCGGGGAGCGGCCACCTCTGCTGCCAGCTCAGGGGTGCACTGGCTGCCTGGCGCACTTTGTTTTTCCGGGGTCCCAGCAGCACCCCCTGGCCCCCTCTCCCCGCTGCCTGTGTCGGGGACGCAGGGCTCACTGCTGGGCTCGGCCAGGATCAGAGCTTCCCCACGGGGAGAAGGTGCCGCCTGGGCAGAGCTGGACCCCGGCGTGGTGCCCGGACCCCCTGCGGGAGCCCAGCTCTGGGCTCCATCTGCTCGGGGTTGGCTGGCAGGGGGGGCCTGGAGCTGTTTTCCAGAAGGAATTCTGTCCTCTTGAGCTGAGTCCCCTTCCCTGCGGCTCTGGGGGGCCACCTTCGCGTCAGCGGCGCTCCCCACAGGAGTCTCTGCAGGAGCGGCTGGTGCAGAAGGACCCGGGGCTGATTCCTGGCGGCCACTTCCGGGGGCCTGGTCTCCGCAGCCTGGCCCGGCCTGTCCGACCTCCTCTGGCTTCTGGGGGGCACCGGTCATTCCCTTCTCCGCACGGGCACCTGGCACGTCCTGCTCTGCACCCGGCCCTGCCAGCCCCAGCAGCTTCCCTGGAGCGGGGTCCTGGGGGCCCCGAGGGGAAGACTCGGCCTCAACACCCAGCGCTTGCCCCTTCTTCTCGGAGTCCCCTGGGGGTCCAGCAGGAGGGGCGGGGAGAGGGGCTGCCGGCGTCCCCTCTGGGAGCTTCTCCAGGTCCTTGCCCCCCACACTCCTGCCAGCGCCTGCCTTTTCTCCGGGTGCGCGCTGGGGCCGGTCGGCGGTCAGGGTCCCGAGCACGGATTTCTCAAAGATCTTGGTGATATGCTCCCTGAAGTCAGGGAACCCGGCGGTCTTGCCGGTCGGCCTGGAGCTCGCGTCCACACCACCCAGTGGGCCCTTCCTCGGGTCCTGGGGAGGTTCTGCCACGCTCTGCCCGCCCCTGTCCGGGTCCCCCTCCTGGGCGGGGCGTGCAGGAATCTCAGGGGGCCGGCTGCCTGCGCCAGGAGCCCCTGCCGCTTCCCCCTGGCCTGTCGTCCATTCACCACTGGCCGGAAGCGGCTTGCTGTCCAGGTAGGGCACGGAGTCCACAGGCCCTGCCGAGGCCCCGGCCGCGGGGCTTCCGCTGCTGGCTTGCACCGCAGAGGTGTCCCCACCGGCAGCTCCTGGTGGCGAGAGGGAGCCAAGGGGGCCAGCCGCCGGCTCCCTGGAGGCGGCGTCTTCCAAGGCAAGCAGGGGCTCCCCTGTGGGCCTGGGAATCTCACCCAGACCTCTGGGACCCTCTCCAGCCCCTTTCCTGGCAGCACCATCAATGTGCAGGTAAGGGGTGTCAGGAGCAGCTTCTTCTGGTGGCCCAGGGGGCAGGAGCCCCTTTGGGCCGGGGACAGCCGGGGCTGCAGGAACGTCAGCGATGCTCCCCGGAATCCCACGCGGCTCTCCAGCTGGTAGCGAGGCACCCTCGCCGCTGGCCGAGGGCTGCCCAGTGTGGCCAGCTTCCCCGGGGGCCGGGGTACAAGTCTGCTCCCCGGGGTGGGGGCGCTCCTCCGCCTGAAGGCAGCCCCCACTCAAAGGACCTTCTCCTGGCTGCTCTGGAGCCCGCTGCACCCCCAGGTCTCCCGTGTCCACGTACCCACCCGCCTCAGCAGCCCCACCTGCCGCACCTCGCTCCTCGGCCCACGGGGAGCTTCCAGGAAGCTTCTGGGCCTCCGTGTCCGAGGTGGCGGGGTGCGCCATGTCCTTCTGCGGGGCCAGCTCTGGCGGCTGCTCGCCTTCCTGGGTTTCATCACCTGCCGCCCTCGCTGGGGCATCCCGAGTGGGTGTGATGCTGGGGCCGGCGGGCACCAGGGCGGGCACCGAGGCCGGCGGGCACAGAGCCGGGTCCTGGAGAGCTCCTGAGTCAGGCCCTGCTGTGTTCCCACTTGCCTCCTGCGTCCTGCCCAAGCCCGGGACCGGGAGCCAAGCGTCAGCTGCTTCGGAAACACCTGGGTCGCCCAGACATGCCTCTTCTCGCCGGCTGCCGGCCTCCAGGGCACCCGCCAGCTCCTGCTGGGACTCGCTCGGCCCCTGCCCCGCCGGGCCCTCCTCTGCGCTCCAGCGACCTGCCAGGGGGGCGTCCTGCGGGGCGTGTGCTGCAGGGAGCCAGGCCCTGGAGGGCTGGCTGTCACTGCACACGGGGCTCCCTGGGGCTGTGTCCCTGGGAGCGGGACTCGGCGTGGGGGGCAGACTGCCTCTGGGGAGCTCGCCCTGCAGTTCTGCTCTGGAAGCCCGCTCCCCTCCCCCATGAGAGGACAAGCTCACATCTTCCCGAAGTTCCACGGGTGCCTGGGTTTGGGGAGAATCCGCCCCTGGACCCTTAATGCGTGGGTCGCCTGGAGACGTCTCGTCGTCATTTGCACACGGCTGAGCCTCCTCCCTGAGCATGTCAGAGACGGGCCCGGCTGGGTCTGCCTGGATGGGCTGGAGATGGTGCTCCGGTGACCCCGAGGGCCCCTCAGGTGCAGCTGCTCCTGCTCGGTGCCCTGGGCAGGGCGGGGCTCCCTGCCGCTCTCCCTCCGGCTTGAGCGCCGGGAGCCCACAGTCCATGGCCGAGCTCCCCCGCTTGGGGGCATGTGTCCCATCAGCCTGGACTGCCTGTCCTACTGCTTCACGCTGCAGCCCACAGGGTGGGGGCGATGTCAGCCAGCCCCCCGCCTCACAGCTGCCGGGCTTCTGTGTGGACGGCCGGCTCCTGGTCTGGACTTCAGATGAACTCTGCTGGGCTTTGGGGCCGGCCGCTGCAGCGGAGTTGGACAGGAAGTCTGACTTCTCAGACTCCGGAGCAGGAAGAGAGTCCGTTCTTCCCGGTGCCCCCACATCCTGAAGGGTGTCAGCACACATGGGCTGCAGTCCCAGCCCCCCCCAGACTCCTTCAGCAAGGGGCTCCCCGGCGCCACCCGGCCTCGGGGGCGTGGCGGGATCCTGCTCAGGGGCCTTGTGCCCAGAGCCAGACGCTCGGACCACGGGGGCTTCTCCCAGCTCCCCACTGGCCACTGAGCTGCGGGCTGCAGCCTCTGGTGGAGGCCCGGGCCTGTCCCTGAGCCCGAGACCCTCCTGGAGGGGCGGTGCGACATCCGTGCCCAGAAGCCCTCTGCCCCCGTCGCTGGTTCGCTCGGAAAGCCCAGCTCTCTCCGGCTCCGGGTCAGGCTTGCCGCCCAGGGCCTGGGGTGGTTCTCCCCACGGGCTCCCAGGTTCTGCAGCTCCCGGCGGCTCGGGGGCCTCCTCCTGCCCTCTGGGGTCAGCCCCAGCTCGTCTGCTTCCCCGCTCGGCCGCACCTGGGCTGACAGGAGCCGGGGCTTCCTCCTTTGGCCCCGGCGACCTTCTGGCACGTTCATGTGATGAGCTGGGGGGACAGGGCGGCACCCCCGGCTGGACTTCGTGGCTTTGCTCCCTGCTCCAGGGCTCTCCGCTCTCCTTCTGGGGCGGGGGCGCAGGACCGTGTCCGGGGCTCCCTTCTGGACGGTCTCCCTGCCCTCCGAGACCTGACGCAAGCTCCTCCTGTCCTGCCGGCCCTGCGTCTGCCGGCTCTCCGGCCGGATCTGTAAGGACGGGCATCTCAGGCCCGGAAACCATCTCCCCGGTCAGCCGGCTGGGCTCTTCCGCAGCAACAGCGGCCTGAGCAGCTGGGCTGGGGTCCTCGGCGCTCACAAGCAGGACCCCCTCGGGTTGGCCCCCTGCTGCCAGGCAGCCGGCTTGGCTGGGCTCCGCCCCTGGCAGCGCTGCCTTCAGGGGGCGCTGAGCATCACTGGCATCCAGGGCCCCGGGCGCCAGGGCAGGGCACGGTGCATCCCAGGGCAGCTCTGTGCACAGCAGGGGTACCCCTGGTTGCTGCTGGCAGCTCTCTGGGGGAGCGGCAACTCCCTCAGCTTCTGGGGCAGCCCCTGAACTGCTCCCGGGGGGACAGCAGATCCCCGAGTCGGCAGCTAAGTCCTGAAGCGGCACGGCGGCTTGGCAGCCTGCTCCGTCTGAGGCCTGGGGCGCTGGCCCCTGTGGGCTCAGGAGCTCGGGCACTGGGGGGCCCTCCTGCAGGCCAGCTGGGCTCTCCTTGCCTGACGGGGCTGCAGGGGGGCTCGTGGGGGCCGCTGGCACCGAATCTGCCCCTCGCTCCGACGCTGGCGGTGGGAGGCCACCTGCAGCCTCTTTCCGCTGGGACTTGAAAGCACAGGGCTGGCCCTCGCCTCCATCCCGCTGCCCCTCCTCGTGGGGAGGAGCTGGCGAAACTCCGGGCGACAGAGCGATAGGACTGAAGGGTGCTGGCCCCTGCAGCTCTTCCCGCTGGTCCTTCTCTGCCCCAGCACCCGGGGCGAGGGCGGCCACGCCGGGCTGAGCAGGGCTGTCCCCTCGAGCGGCAGACGCTGCCAGGGTGTCTTCCTGGACGTTTGGAGGAGGCTTCCTCCTGGGGTGCTGAGGGAGGGGCCGAATGAGGGGCCAGTACTCAGGCGCTGATGCTGGGCTCGCAGAGAATGCTTTAGGGGAGCCCTCGGCAAAGGGCGTGGAGCCCAAGGGGCTCTCCTGCTCCCAGGGTGCTGCTGGGCTGGGCAGTGGAGAGCCTTCGGGGTCCCTGGCTTTCTGTGGGTGCTTCCTCGGTGCCGTCACCTCTGGGGACACGACGCGTGGATCCAGGCTGGCGGCGCCCTCAGAGGCGGTGCAGGAGCGTCCGTGGGCAACACTGCCAACAAGGAGAACAGTGCATGTTTCGTCAGGTGTCAGGGGCCACGGACAGAGCCACGCCCCAGGCAGAGCCACCCAGCGCTCCCACTGAAGGTCACAGAGCACACTGTCCCCATGCAGCTCGCCTGCCCCCCACCCCCACAGCCACCACCCATGGCACCCCTCTCTCCAAAAATTAACGCAGGGAATCGCGGCCGTCCAGCCTAGGGCTCGCCAGGTGCTCGGCACCGAACGGGGCCGTGTGGAGACCTGCTCCTATAGCCTAACGTGCGGAAGCCCGGGACGTTTTCCAGTGAGTTTGATTAATAACAGAGCTCGAGCCAGTCTGGGTCACTTACAAGGAGGCCCAAGCACTCCCGGGAGCCTTCGATGTGGGGGGACACACGTGGGCACAGCTGTGCTCCGAACCAGGGAGCCTCGTCCACTTGCGTCTCACATTCAGCCTCACAGGTGTCACTGTGGGAGGCTCAACCCCTCGTCGGCTCTGTTTAGCTTTGGAGCGTCTGCCTGTGGCCTGCGCCTAACCCCTGGGAGCTGAGTCACCTTCTGCCCACGTCTGTGTCGACCACGCGTAGCCGGACGGTGTGGGGAGGGAAACGGAAGATGCAGGGCGCCCGGGCAGCTGTGGACGCAAGCACCTCTGCTGGGGCGGCAGCTCGTCTGACCCTGCTGTCCTCAGATCTGTGTCCTTCTCATCAAGTGCATTTTAAGAAGTTAGAAAGAGCCCGGCCGGTGCGGCTCAGTGGGTGAGCGTCGACCCTGCACCAGGAGGTCACTGGTTCGATTCCCGGTCAGGGCACCTGCCCAGGTTGTGGGTCTGATCCCCAGCGGGGGGCGTGCAGGAGGCGGCCAGTGGATGTCCTCTCTCATCGATGTTTCTCTCTCTCTCTCCCTCTCCCTTCCTCTCTCTAACATCAATAAAGAAAAAAAAAGTTAAAAAGAATGCATTGCCAACACAAAATTCTGAAAATGTAGAAAGGCAGCAGAAGTACATTTTGCTTTTTTTAAAGTCTTTTGCCATTTTCTTTAAAGTTATCAGAGGGAGGAAACAGCAAAGGAAAACATACGGAACCTTCCTGTACGGTTCCTGTACCTGCCGCACACTCAGACCCAGGCCCACAGTGTTTGCTGTGGCCCACGGGAAGAATTCCACACGTCACGCCCCGGACGCTGGCTTCCACGCAAGGCCACGCACCCAGTCACGTAAGAGGGGCACAGTCGGGGGCAAGGTGAAGGATACCCCCGCTGAAA